AGGCAGGATGGAAGAAAAAACGGATTTCAGACAAGAAGTCACGCCAGCCCTGGAAAACTCAATAAAGTCTTCGTGCGTAAAAGGAGCGTCCAAAGGCCGGTCATTTGACGTCAAGTCAGGCGATGAAATGACCTCGCTATTTCCCAGGGACACAGAGAAAAGTGCAGAGGGGACAATCAGCAGCGACTTGGTTGAGATGTATGCAAAGGGCGCTYGAGGCCTTAACGCGGGAGCCAGACGCACGTTTCCTTTCCAACAAATGGCTCTTGGTACCGKCCCAGTGACGGGGAAGACGACACCGCCAGGATGAAGGGGCATCCTTGGTATTTTATATTTCCCTTCTCCGCCGACTGTGAGCGGCTAGCAGAACACGCAGCTGGAAAATTCCAACCTCACCCGCTCTGCCTCATCAACTCTCCAGACAGGTCCCAGAGCTGCCGCCGCCCCAACTTCCCAGATGGGGAGCGGCCCTTGGGCCAGCGACAGTCCCTGGCCTGCACTGCCTGTCCATCTCCAGGGTGAGTTCAGCGGCCCGGTGTTCCCGACGCAGACCTTCCTCGCCAGCTCCAGGCTTGGACACCCCTCTGCCCTGAACCCCCCCCTGCGAGGGCTCTTCAGCAGGGCACCGAGGAAGCTCGGCAGAGAGTGAAGCTCCTGTTCTTGCCCCCAGCGTGGTCTTCCCCCAGCCTGTCCTTACTGCAGTCTGTCCTTACTGCAGCCTGTCCTTAATCCTTCCTTACAGGCACTCGGGTCAGAACAGTGAACTTGTCCTCTCATCCCCAATCCTTCAGGAATACTGGGAATTCTGCCTTCAAAACACGGCCCCAGTCCAACCACTTCCATGCTGGCTCGGCCACCATTCACTCTCACCTGGCAGATGGCCCTGGTCCCACTTCTGCCCCCAAAGCCTGTTTCCATTGTGGAAAACAGGGATCCTTTAAGCATCCAAGTCAGGTGCACAGCATGCTGCTTTGTTGAAGACCCTCTGTGACTCCTCATGTGACTCAGAGTAAAAGCCACAGTTCAGCAAAGGCCCAAGTCTTAGACAATCCATGCCTTTCCCACCCACCTCCTGTGCCCTTGCCCCCGAGGCTCCAGCCACGGACACTCTTATCTGCAGGCCTTTGCACAGGCTGATCCCTGCCTGCAATGCCCTTCCACCCCATGCCAGCTCTTCCGACTCCTTCTCGTCTTCGGCCTACTGAATAATACAACCAGGCCCCGTGCCCACACTCCCACCCCCGTCACCTGCTCTCATCTATCACTCTCCAACATGCTCTATCATTGGCTTATCACGTCCAGCCTGCCCCTTCCTGGCTAGAACATCAACGACACAAAGGCAGAGAGCTTGGTCCATTTTATTCACCGATTTATCCCAAGGACTGGAACCAGTCTGCAGAGAGCACTTTTGCTGAATGAATAAGAGGCTAAGAAAGTGGTGAGGAGCCTGGTCCTGGGGCTTCTTGTCCTGCCAAGTGAAGGCCTTGAATGGCCCCATGTTCTGTGACTCCTGGAAAAAGGAAACTGAGACCAAGAGCTGTCCAGGGTTTGCCAGGCCTCTTGGGCTGTGAAGAGGCCAGGTAGCTGTGAGATGGGCCACGCAGGAACCCTAGATGCAATCTTGGCCAGCAGTCCCCTAGTGTGATGGCCACAAAGACCCCCCCAGAGATGAAGGCTAACAGCTCTCAAACAACGCAGACAACCCAATCGCCTCCTGGCCCCTCCACTGGGGCAGGACTGAGGACAGAGTCAGAGGCTTGCCTTTCCAGACRTTGGCTCTTGTTTGAAGAAACCCAGTCTGGGGAGACCACTGCATCACTGGACAGACCCACTGGGGGCTGAGGTTCACTTTGCAGGAGGGTCCTGGTGGGTCCCACTTAACAAGGAGCTACTCCACCACAGACTTAGAAACCCACTGGCCTCAGGGCGGCCAGGTATGGAGGAAAGGACTCGGGGCTGGATTCCAGGCCCCTCTGCCCCTTAGTCTGTGACTCTGGGCAAGTCACCAGATCCCACTAGGCTGAAGTCTTAACTTTTGGTCAACCACCTATTGGGTACAGTGTTGTGAACTCAGGGATCCTGGGTCACATGTCACATCTGAGCCCCAAGAGGTTTCTGGCTACTGCCAGAGACAAGCACACAAGCAGAGTGCTCCACAGCTCCGCTCACTGAGTGTGCTCTGAACAGCACGACCCTGTGTGGACACTGTGTGAGCCCCGGCAACATGATCACACCCCACCACACCCCCACCTTCAGATAGAGACACGAGGCACAGCGGCTGACTCCCACCCCTGGTCCCTCAAGAGCTGGCAGCCATCTCCAGAGCCTGCACCCTCCACTGTTCCCCACTCTACCAGCGTGGCAGGAGAGCATGGCGCAGGTGTGTGCTGCAGGTTGGCGCCCAGAGCAGGGGTGGGAGAGGGAAGTGGGGAAAGCTCTGGGAGCAGGGTACAGAGGGTAAGCAGGCATGTGCCAGGCAGGAGGACCCTGGGGAGGCATCTCAGGCAGGGGGACGGTTGACGCAGCTCAGGCCAAGAGGCTCACAGTAGACTGCAAGATGGAGCTCAGGTCAGGCCAGAACCAGAGGTCACAGAGACTCCAATGGAGGCTGTGGGTGAAGGGTAGGCAAGAGCCCAGTGGCAGCAGCTCTACTGAGTCATCCTCAAGACCCAGGCATCATCCTGGATGTCAGTGCTTCCCAATACAGACACACCTTCAAGTCCTGGGAGATTAGAAAAATGGCAATCTCTGCTAGAAACTGTGGTCAAGCTAGTGGTAATAAGCACCACGCTGGGTCTCCAAGTACTGTCTTCCAGGAGAGGGGACGAGGATCCTCGTTGAACCCATGGTCTGTGGTACGAGAAGAGCCCAGGAGACTGCTGAGCCAGACGGCAAGGAGCTGCCACGGACTCAGAAGCCCACCTGAGGGGCTCCCGCTGGCCAACCACAAYGGCAGGAAGGATCAGGAAGGACAAGGATGATGGTGCGTTGATGCTCATCCAACATGTGGAGAGCCCTTGGTCAAACTCCCGATCCTCCCATCAGAGGACTCGAGGGAGCCCAGCTGGGATCTTAAAAACATAAATGCAGGAAAAGAATCAAGCGTCACTTGCTCTGTAAACTGGACTGCTGGCTAACCAAACCGCCGTCAGAGGAAGTCAGCCAGTGGACAAGAAATGAGGGAATTAAAATTCCGCCACTTTGCAACCCCTCCTTAATCAACAGATTTATTTTATTTTATTTTATTTTAATTTTTTAATATATTTTTATATATTTATCTATTTTATTAAAAAAATTTTTTAGTTGTAGTTGGACACAATAACTTTATTTATTTTTATGTGGTGCTGAGGATCAAAACCAGTACCTCGCACATGCTAGGTAAGCTCTCTACCACTGAGCCACAACCCTGGCCCTRCAACACCTCACAAAGGAAAACACAGACGTTAGTCGGTTCCCAACGGAAGGACACAAAGACATTTACAAAGTCAGTTGCACACGCACATCCCGAAAAGGGAAACTGAATCTGATCAAGTTCCTAGATCCAACTAAGCAATTTACAAGAAATACTGAGAAACTTATTAAATGACTGGGGGTAGGGTGGCTCTGGAGGAACAGAAACCCATCACCGTGGGAGGCCGTTACTGGGGAGACTGGAGACAGTCAGGAAAAAGACCGCCAATCACGGCGTGTGGGGCCTACCCCGATGGTCTCCCCCAACAGTTAAAACACGATTTTGTAAGATGCACAAGAAAGTCGGGATTTGACCGCTAATGTCTGAGGACGTTGGAGATGCGTACTGAAAAGCTCACAGGCGAAATAGCAGCGCATCTGAGACCTGCTACAAGGTGCCGCTGASGGGAGGGTGGAGGTGGGGCGACAGATTGGCCCTGAGCGCATCGCTGTGGAAGTGGGTGAAGGGCGCATTGGGCGGGCTTTTACTTTTTATAGCTTGAAATTTTCCATAATAAAAAGTTATAAAAACACTAAGCCCCACCCCCAGAGATCCAAATTCATTAGTCTGGGCTTCRGCTCTGGCGCTGGTACCTTTTAAGACTGCCCAGTGCTCCGACCCTCGGCTGGGGTTCAGGACCGTCGTGGTCACTCATGCCGGACGCTCCAGAGCTGCACTAGGACGGGGCGAGCTGGGGGGGGACTGGCCTGGAGGTCGGGAGCCAAGCACAGGGTCCTTGACCGTGGGGAAGGGGGAGGGAGGCGGGTCCCAGACAGCGCCAACAGTTTGGGTGACAGGGGTGCTGCCTCAGGGGTGCCTATAGGGTTCTGGTGGAGATGTCCAGTGGGCAGGTGGCCTGTGGGCCTAGAGAGCCACGTGAAGACCCTGAAGAGACCCACAAACTGGGGCCACTCCCAAGACGGAGACGGGGAGGGGACAGCTGCAGCCAGGGACAGCATGGGGGCAGACCTGGGCCCTGCCCCTAGGAGGGGGGGCCAGGTGACCCATTCCTCGCCTCCCACCCCTCTCCTGCCTCAGCCAGAGACCCACAGGGCAAGTGGCTCAGCCAAGGGGCCAGCCTTCTCTGGACAAGGGCTGTGACATTTCCACCCCCTGCCCTTAAAGCTCCTGCAGATCAAGGCATTTGTTAGACAAATCGGTGACGGCAGCTGAAGCCAGACCACCTGAGTCTGGGTGCCGAGCCACAGCGCTCACCCGGGGACCTGGGCTGGAGCCAAGTGGAAGCCCGGAGCCCAGGGGCTCACACTCTGTGGGGAAGCTGACCCAAGCCAGTGACCAAAGCCTTCAGCCTCTTTTGTCAAAGGCTCTCGGTGGGGGAAGGGCCCAGAGTCCCCACGCTACCCCAGGGGTGTCGGGGGATGGCCCCGCTTCCCGGTTTCTTGAGCAGTGGAGTTTATTGTTGGGCCTTCTAAACCATGAGTGCGCTCGCTCTCTCTCTCTCTCTCTCTCTCTCTCTCTCTCCAAAAAAAAAAAAAAATGATCTCTGATCACAGAGGACGAAGGGGCCACCCCAGGAGCAGGGACTTACCACCGAGTCCAGGAACTGGATGTAGCACTCCAGCCCAGGCCTGGTTTCGCAGAACTGCCGGAAAAGCAGCCTCCCGATGGGCTGCCTGTCACACAGGCCGCAGTAATCTCTGTCTGGAGGCAAGAAGGAAAGTGGTGAGACCCGAGAGGCCAGGCAGGCCGCCCCTCACCCCACCTTCATCTCCAGCCCCAGCCCCATGGAGCAAGGTGACCATGAACTCTGTGGACCCAGAGGGACAAAGTCAGGGCGGAGAAAGGTGCCAGTCACCACCCAGCTCCCATCCACTCCACCTTCCCAATAACCGGATTTCGGTATGGAGATGCCAATGGTTCTGGAGACTACAGCTGGGTCCCCTGGTTGGCCAATCAGCTAACACAGGCCCTGATTCTGGCAACTGGGTAAGGTGACAGACACGTGACACTCTGCAGACTGTGTGGGAAACCAGGGCAGGGAAGCCCTGGTGCTCTGGACCTGAGTGCGGGGGAGAGTGGGGCCAGGGCTGCTGCGGTGCACTGACACCTTAGAGGAAGCTGCTGAGGAAGAGGCTGACCCCTGGAAGAGCCAGGAAAATGACAATAGCAGACTTGGTCCCCTGGTGATGTTACAGGCCTCTAGATCAAACCATGCCTGCAGCCCAAACCACATCTGAAAAGCTTATTTATAAGGCAACATATTTTCTTTGTTTAGGGCAGTTTGAAAAAAATTCAAATTATTCCTAATTCAAAGCATCCTAGTGGACACAGTAAAAAAAAAAAAGAAAAGAAAAAAAAATAATTTTACCCAATTGGAACAAAGCCCACTCTCAGAATCCTTCAAATTATGAAAACCCTGCATTCTAGCAAAGGAGCTAGAGGCATGGAGACAGGAAGTCAGCTGCTCTCAGTCATTCTGTAGCCAAGAGGGTTCTGAGGAGGAAATACTGCAAAACTCTCAGCTGCAAGACCTAGAGCCTGGAGTGCTAGCTATCATCTGCTGTGTTACTTCTAACAACTCACTCAACCTCTCTGGGTGATTTTCCTCTTCTGAAAACCAAAATCACATGTTTGGAGTTGGGACATGGGTCCTTTCTGTCTCTTCCTGTAGTGTTACTAAGACTTTTGCAAGAAGTTTTCCCTGGCCAGAAAGATGCTCACAGCACTTACTAAGACCTGCTGCCTCAGACCCTCCCAAGCCCTAAACAATGGGCCTTCAAATCTGACGTCGCTTTAGGAGAGCCACTGGTGGGAAGGAAGGACTACATCCTGGCTGGGCATAGAGGAACCGGTCAGCATCCCTTAGAAAGGGTTTCTCTGGAGACAGAGACCCAACGAGAAGAGCTGGACACCACCTCAGTATCCAGCTCACAGGACATGGAGTCTGCTCACAGGACATGGAGCTACTACTGTGGTAGGGTGGGGGGATCCTGTGGTGGCCAGGTGCAGGCCCTGGAGCTCCGTCACCAGGGTTCGAGTCCCAGCCCCACCACTGAGCAGTGTGATCTGGGGCCACTGACTCTACACTTGCCCCTACCCACTCTCCCCGTCCTCATCTGCAGGCTGGGTAGAGTAATAGTACACGTCTCCTGGGACTGTCATGGGGATTGAATACGACAATGTCCAGCAAGTCCTCAGACAGAGCCTGGCACACAGAAGATGCTCAATAAACCCCACCCCTTATCATCCTGGATGTGGGGTGCTTTTCATCTGTTCTATCTCCCTTTTGTAAAGGAGCATTTTCTTCCCAAGTCTGAACACACGCCACCCAGGTCTTCTGGTTCCAGAGGAACTGATGCCTTCAAGCCTTGGAAGATGGACATGTGACTCAAGCTGAACCAATCAGAGTCCTCGTTCCTGGAGCTGTGATAGGGTCAAGGATGAGCACATGATCAACACCAGCCAATCAGAGTCTTCAACCTCCCAGTCACCATGACAAGATCAAGGATGACCTGGAGACTCAGCCAATCAGAGGCCCCTAGAGTGTCAGACCCTGAGGGAGAACCTGAGTGGGTCCTGGAGTCCTTGCAGGGCTTTTGCCAGAACTTCCAGGAGCTGGTCAGATTGTCCTTTCCCCCAGGCAGCGRGAACCCATGGAGACTGAAGGAGCAGGGCAACTGCTGAGCAGAGAGGAGACCTGGAGGCAGCCCTGCCTGAGGCCAGCCCTGGGCAGCTGGGCCGTGTACTGATAGGGATGCTGCTCAGCCAGCGGCAGCAGGGTCTCTCTGTTGGAATGGAAAGAGCAGTGACCGGGCACACGCTTGTCCTTCATGGGTAAACCGCCTGCGGGCAGGGACCCTGTGTAGGAACTCGCAGGTTCTGAGTATCGTRGGCAGAAAAGGGCACTCGACAGTCACATTCTCTCAAGTGGATGCTTTGATCAACAGGGGTGAGCCACTTGCCAAGTGCCCCGCCCCTGCCCCGCTGCCCCTGGCCCTTCTCCAGTAGCTTGGTGGCTCAAACTAGTGTTGGACTACTGCCTCAACTCTGCCCTTCAACCAYGGGCCCAGGCGCCACGCTCCAAGCACAGATGGTTCACAAATAGCCACTCCAGCGAGCATTTAGCCTTGTGGCCTGCCAGGTTCTCCTGGGGTGGGGGGGAGGGGGGCTGCTGCTGCAAAGGGCAGCAGGGGAGTGTGTGGGTGAGCAGACAAGATCCCAAGTGACAGTTATAAAATGTCACGTTAGATGAGTGTCATTGTCAGCCACAGGAGGGAACCTGGTCACGGTGGCCTGTGACAGGTCTGCAGCCTGCACTTGTTAGCATGAGGCCCTGCAGCACAGCCTGCCTTCCTACCGCCTCCCACTGCACCCGATCCCCCAATGGGAGGAAAACAAGCCTTCGCGGCCTTTGGCAATAAGGAGCTTTCCCAGCACAAACACGGAACCAAAGTCAACTGCTCTGGGCCAACGTCAGTTTTATTCTCTTAGGGGGGAGCGCACAGGACCTCGTGTGTAATTGAGCAAGCTAACCCCTCGCCCCATTTCCAAAAGCAATGGTGAGATTTCCCRTAGCATGTTGTGATTCCTTCCGAGTTCATCTAACACAAGTCTTCCCTCTCCATATGGCGTTGGCCGTCAGTATGGAAACAAGGCTGTCATAAACTTGCACAGTAAACACCATGTGATCCCCACACAAGCTGTCAGCAATGGTTCTGTGCCTCTCCAACAGCACGGGGCATCCCAGGCAGGAAAGCCACGTACGGAAGCCCAGGAAGGAATAAAAGGATTAGTAATCATCTTTTAAAAAATGTTTTAGTTATAGATGGACATAATWTTTTTTTTAGTTTGTTTATTTATCTTTATGTGGTGCTGAGGATCGAATCTAGTTCCTCAAATGCGCTAGGCAAGTGTTCTACCACCGAGCCACAACCCTAGCCCAGTAGTCATCTTTTCAGAGTTGGTATTTTTCCCCTCTCAGTCTCAAAGATAAATGGGTTTTCCTTCTCCATCTTTCCCCTTCTCCTGATCCTTCTCCCCCACCTCCTCCTCATTCTCCTTCTGTTAATGTACTGGGAACTGAATGCAGCGATGCTTTACCACTCCGCTGCATCCCCCGCCCTTGTGTGAGAGTTGCCCAGGCTGTCCTCGAACTTGTGATCCTCCTGCCTCAGCCTCCAGAGTCACTGGCATTACAGGCTGCATCACTGTGTGGCACACGGGCTCGTCTTCCTAGGAAGCACCCACAACAGCACCAAACCCAAGTACAATGTTTGCAGTTGAAGTAGATGCACCCCGGGAGAGGCAGTGTTTGGGAATGATCAAGGTGATGGGGGCGGGGCACCAAAAATAAGTTCTTGGTGTGGCAACAGCAAACCTGATGGCCAGATCACTTCTGGAAAGYCAGAAGCATGTGGAGCTCTATAGCACGTCCCTGGGGGAGACCCTTTCTGATCTGCCTTAGCAGGAGCTGGCCATGCTCTGAAATCCAGGCTGCAAGGGGCTGACCACCACCCTCCTCCCGGGTGTGACTACAGGGCTGCAAAGCACAGGCCCAGAAAAACAGAAGCCATCGTCTCCCAATCTCTCTCTCAGGAGGGGAGAACCTGGGGTGCTGTCCACACAGGCACTGAGTGCTGTATACTCACTGTACACACACACAGACACACACACACACACACACACACACACACACACACACACCACAGGCTCTGCTAGAACATAGAAATCCTGCTGCCGGCCATGTACCTCATTGGTGTTCCCTCTAAGCCAGAAAGAAGCCGTCCTACAGGAGGGAGCACCAGGTTCTCTGCCTCAAGTGTCCACAAATCATTCTTTGTTCTTTTGGGCCCTTAATTCATTCAACTCTCATCCCAGGTCTCTTGCTTCTCAATATAGAAGTCTCCTTTAATTTTAAGGTTCTCTTCTTGAACTCGGGGGTAAGGCTTGAACAGTGCAGGGTGCCACCAAGTAGACCTTCCAGAGTGGCTTAAGGAAAATGCAGAGAAAGTGGTAGGTGTCTTGGGGATGGGAGGTGAGGCACGGAGGCAGGCATCAGCAAGCCGTGTTGAGGGAGGGGTCAGCAAATAACTTTCCTTGGCAACAAGACTGACCGCATGCAACGCAGGGCCGGCCCGGTCACTTCCTTCTCTGCTTTTCCCAGGTACAGTATGATGCTGGCCACGCTGCCAACCAACAGAGGGCGCAACRAGACCAGGGGCCCTACCCTAGTCGCCTCACCTGGCAATGGGGGGCGGAGGGGGGACTCCCCATCTGTTCTCTCAGTAGGCTGCTGACCCCGGGYGATTGCCAAGGATGGTCTCAGCCCTGCTGTGGATTCTGTGTCACCCAAGAGTCCCCGGTTTCTTCGTCTATAACACAGGGGAGTTGGAGTAACAATCTCTAAGCCCCTTCACACCCTGGAGAGGTTCTTGGGGCAAATGATTGGAGGGATTTGGGTCAAACTGCCACGAGGAGCTGAGTGACTCTGTATTGACTGGGACTGTCCTGTGCCCTGGGGGTGTCTACGGTAGGGCTGGTCTCTACCCACTTGTTATCATAGTAACCCCAGCCGTGAAAACCAAAGGTGGCTGCGCATTGCCCAGATTGCCCCTTTAGACCTGCTGCAAAGGTCACCTTTGGAGCTCAGCTTTAACCAGGATCCCCAAGCTCTGCTTCTGTCCAGCCCCATGGGGATTCCT